CTGCGGGATTGACAGCTGGCTCTGCCTAAACAGAGACAGAGCCAGCTGTGCCCTTCCCCGTCCGTTCCGCCAGTCAGCGCAGGAGGATCGGAGCGGGGAGGGGGGGGAATCCCTGCAGGCTCTCTGCAGGGATAGATCGAGAAGTGAGCAAACGCCGGTATGTGTTTGCTCACTTCCCGATCTACTGAGCCGACCTGTGACAGTTTCATTGTCACAGGTCGGCTCAGATTATGAGGCTGAGGAAAAATCACCCGCCTCATAATTCTCCTTTAAGTAGATGAGCCTTGGCCTCCATTCACACCTGGGTGCCTTGCTGCTCAAAGCGAAGCATGACAAAACGCTCAAGTCAAGGAATCCCCTTCATTTCTATGGCCCCTGTTAACACCTGAGTGTTTTGTCAAAAGCAGAAAAACGCCTGTCGCTGAAAAAAGTACATGAGCTACTGTTTAGCAGATTACAGTGCTTTTTGATCTCTTAGACTTCAATGGGAAGCGCCTGGAAATTTGAGTTGAAATAGTTTTTGCATGTTTTGTCACACAAAGTTTCCCATTGAACTCTACGAGACCAAAGAGTGCTGTAACCTGCCAAAAAGTAGTTCACATACCTTTTCCAGTGACAGGAGTTTTTCTCCTTTCGACAAAAAACTCAGGTGCGAACAGAAGCCATAGAAATGAATGAGATTCCTCGCCTTGAGCATTTTGTCACGCCTACATTTGAGCAACGAAACGCCTAGGTGTGAATGGGGACTTGGCGAGTGTGAAACTTCTATTTCACGGGATGCCTAAAATGTACTTGAAGATGAGGCTTCTGATAAAAATCAGTGAGTCAATCACACAAGCAGGAAATGACAGCGACTTCAGACTGAAATGGAAATATATTTTTTTAGTCACATCAATTACTATTACAAAATGGCTTCCGTATCAATTCATATGTGATCATATTTATTTTTACCACAAGTGGAGCTTTCCTATAAAGTGGAACTACACCTTTGGGGAAGGAAGGGGGGTGGATACCTACAAATAGACAAATCCAAAAGGTAAGCACCCGGAGTTCCCTATCATACAGAGCCAGTAGCAGTTTAACCTGTGCCCTCTGACTACAGGTTTACTTTAATGTCTGCTGTGACAATGGTGGAAGCCTTTAAGTTTTAACAGACCTAGCAATACAATCAATATGTAGTATGGGTTTTTTTTAGCGTCAACAAAATAGTCAAGACAAAAAAAAGTGAATAAAATAAACTTGGCATCAGCCAGTCTGCACAAACAGACAAAAGTCTGTTTTGGTTACACTCAGTCTCTTAGTTACAACATCCATGTGTCATATCAGTGCAGGCAATGTAGAGCGGGACTTTGATACCCAGGGTCTGCTAGAAAATCAATATATAAAAGACCCGCCATAGGATTAAAAATCTATATGACGCAAACAGATAAATCCTAAGAATGCAGCCTCAGTAGTAAATATTTACTTTGGGTGATTTTCAAATATTGTAAGGCGATAAACATTCCTAAACTTTTATCAGACATATTTTGCTTGAGGTACAGTTAAAGTGACACTAAACTCAGGAGATAAAGCTTAAAAATACATTCAAATACCCTAGCTATTAACAAAAATTTATATCTTTTGTGTATCATTCGGCTGTAGATCCTCAAATCATCTCTGAATTCATGCTGACATTGTCCTTCCTTCTGGAGGGTGGCTACTTTTGTTCCCCATGGTCCCTGTGCCACCACTCCAAGCTCACTCCTGTGATGGACTACAATATCAATACAAATTAGTAAACTAAACAAGAGATTGTACTCCATCACGGGAGTGAGCTTGGAGAGGTGACTACTTTACAACACACACAGGGGCCATGGGGAACAGAAGTAGCCACCCTGCAGAAGGAATGACAGTGTCAGCACCAATTCAGGGATGATTTTTGTTAATAGTTAAGGTGCTTGAATGCATTTTAAGGTTTAACTCCTGAGTTTAGCGTCAGTTTAAACCACCAGTCAGGTTTATTTTTGCCAAGGGTTGTGGAGTATTTCCTTTGTTTCCTGTCCTGTAGATCGGGAACAGACAAATTAATATGGAATTCAGGAGCCAACAGCATTTTTTTTAAGACAACTAGAGAAAACCTCAAAAGTTAGGCAGGAAATGTGTCCAGCCCTGCTGTAGACACAACAGGCAGTGACACAATATCTCTCCAAATGAATGAAAAGCCCCTCTTTCAGCTCATTTACATATCCGGTCCGATGTGGTGGGTTTCCTTAATCTGAATGAGCTGCCAACGCACCACAACAGACCTATAACTGGACATGCACTATGCACTCATCATTTGGGATTTCCTTTCACTTTCAGTCCCCATGATAGTGACCTCGAAGAGAAATGCAAAGAATAAATCTCCTAGCTGAGACAAAGACCAAAAAAAAAAAAAGTCTTACGTTCTAGCCTCTCGCCATTCTAAACGAATGTGTGGCCTTTAAACTGTAATATTTTGAGCCAGTGACGAGGAACAAGAATGCAGCAAACAAAGTTAGAATGGAGTACAAACTTCTTCCACATTACCATTGTATAGCTTTTCCTTTATAACATCCTTTTTAGACCATGATTTCTTTTAGCACCAAAACACCCATTTTGATCAGAATGCCAGCCACCATAAAACCCCCTTCTGCTGAAAGGAGCCTATATGCCTCTCTTAGTGATGAATGACACGTTATAGACTCCTCCAATCCCTCCACCATAAAACCCCCTTCTGCTGAAAGGAGCCTATATGCCTCTCTTAGTGATGAATGACACGTTATAGACTCCTCCAATCCCTCCACCATAAAACCCCCTTCTGCTGAAAGGAGCCTATATGCCTCTCTTAGTGATGAATGACACGTTATAGACTCCTCCAATCCCTCCACCATAAAACCCCCTTCTGCTGAAAGGAGCCTATATGCCTCTCTTAGTGATGAATGACACGTTATAGACTCCTCCAATCCCTCCACCATAAAACCCCCTTCTGCTGAAAGGAGCCTATATGCCTCTCTTAGTGATGAATGACACGTTATAGACTCCTCCAATCCCTCCACCATAAAACCCCCTTCTGCTGAAAGGAGCCTATATGCCTCTCTTAGTGATGAATGACACGTTATAGACTCCTCCAATCCCTCCACCATAAAACCCCCTTCTGCTGAAAGGAGCCTATATGCCTCTCTTAGTGATGAATGACACGTTATAGACTCCTCCAATCCCTCCACCATAAAACCCCCTTCTGCTGAAAGGAGCCTATATGCCTCTCTTAGTGATGAATGACACGTTATAGACTCCTCCAATCCCTCCACCATAAAACCCCCTTCTGCTGAAAGGAGCCTATATGCCTCTCTTAGTGATGAATGACACGTTATAGACTCCTCCAATCCCTCCACCATAAAACCCCCTTCTGCTGAAAGGAGCCTATATGCCTCTCTTAGTGATGAATGACACGTTATAGACTCCTCCAATCCCTCCACCATAAAACCCCCTTCTGCTGAAAGGAGCCTATATGCCTCTCTTAGTGATGAATGACACGTTATAGACTCCTCCAATCCCTCCACCATAAAACCCCCTTCTGCTGAAAGGAGCCTATATGCCTCTCTTAGTGATGAATGACACGTTATAGACTCCTCCAATCCCTCCACCATAAAACCCCCTTCTGCTGAAAGGAGCCTATATGCCTCTCTTAGTGATGAATGACACGTTATAGACTCCTCCAATCCCTCCACCATAAAACCCCCTTCTGCTGAAAGGAGCCTATATGCCTCTCTTAGTGATGAATGACACGTTATAGACTCCTCCAATCCCTCCACCATAAAACCCCCTTCTGCTGAAAGGAGCCTATATGCCTCTCTTAGTGATGAATGACACGTTATAGACTCCTCCAATCCCTCCACCATAAAACCCCCTTCTGCTGAAAGGAGCCTATATGCCTCTCTTAGTGATGAATGACACGTTATAGACTCCTCCAATCCCTCCACCATAAAACCCCCTTCTGCTGAAAGGAGCCTATATGCCTCTCTTAGTGATGAATGACACGTTATAGACTCCTCCAATCCCTCCACCATAAAACCCCCTTCTGCTGAAAGGAGCCTATATGCCTCTCTTAGTGATGAATGACACGTTATAGACTCCTCCAATCCCTCCACCATAAAACCCCCTTCTGCTGAAAGGAGCCTATATGCCTCTCTTAGTGATGAATGACACGTTACAGACTCCTCCAATACTGCTTAGTTGCTGATATTTTTAGGATTTCCTTAGAGGGCTGAGAGAAGCACCTGCTGTTTTCCAAGTTCAGTGTAATCAATAAAACATATATAATCACAGTAACGGAATACTAAATAAGTGCAAGATATGACAGCAAATAAGCCAGGAGTTTTAAAATGCCAACACGCTGCAGAAAAAATAAAACTAAAGGTTGATTTTTAGCAAAGTGCAGCGTCAACGTACTAAATGTATTCTGCCAAAACACTCATAAAAGACGCGGCCGGGGAAAACAAACAGTTCACTGCACATTTTATATGCAATCTCCCCTGTGTAATATTAACCAATTTTGAAAATTAAACCAAGCGACAACATCAATTTGTACCAGAACATTACACTGGAATTTTACCAGGTAACAACACCACTCGAGAACTTTAACCCAATCCCTTCTGAGAAGAATACAAGAACAGCAAAGACCAAGAAAAAGATCTATTCGCAACACATTTAGACCATTTCCTCATTTAAGGGATAAATATAAACAGATAACTGCTCAAATTGTGGCCCTAAATTAACCTTCTGATAAACCTGACAATAAGTTCTGCACTCCCCGCACTAGGATACGACTTTTTACATTGGCAGCTCATACACCCACAGTGCAAATGCTATATGCCATTCAATGCATTTACAGATCTTCTATACTAAAGCAAATTTTCATTTGAGCAAAAAAATAAAAAAATACTTAAAATAACAAAAAGCTGCATAGATATACAGTTATGAGAGAAAAAAAAACTATTTACCTGGAGTAGCCATTGGAAAACACAGGCCTGCTTTGATAGGTTAAATTCCCTGGAGATGCAAGGTTTTCATTCCCAGACCCATGGCACCTATTCCAAGCCTCAGAAATGGTAGGCAGAGTTTGGCCCAAGGTAAAGATTGGCTTCTGATCCGGCTGCTGAGACAGTTGAGAAGTGTTCAAGTCATAGTGGTACATCTGTCCCCCTGAAGTGCTGACGCCATGCACAGAGATGGCTGATGTTTTGTTACCAAAAAGGCCAGATCCAGAAAAATGGCCACCACAATAAATGGGACTAAACTTTTCCTGCTTCACTACCCCAGGAGTACACAGCTCTATAAAGTCATCCTTTTCAGTCTTCACTTGAGACATCAGCATTTCAGTACTTGGCAGCACTAAGTCCCCTACTTTTGGTGTGCAATCTTGAAGAATGAGCGGTTTGCAGTCTTCATTGACTGAACCTGACCTCAAAAGAAAAGGGTCATCAGTGGTCAAAGGAGATAGCAAGTCAACAGCGTCATCTCCAAATAAAGGGTCCAGTGACCATGGATTATCCTTTATATCCCTGGGTGACTCTGGGGGCAAATCCAGATCCTGTAAAAGGTCAAAGGTGCTTTGGTCTTTAGGAAACAACTTGTTATTGCTGTTCCCTTGACCCTGCACAGAAGGGCTTGGCTGGGCGGACAGGTCACATTTGATAGCTCCTTTATCTTCAAGGCCCTCCTGCACCTTCTCTGGGACAGATGACTTTGCCTGAAGACTGGCAATGCTCTCTTCGAGCAGCCTGAAGTCCGTTTCTCCTGCTGGCACTCCAAGTTGAGCTTGCTGAGGGTAACCAAGTTCGTTTCCCATTACTTTTGTATCTGGCTCACCCATATAAAGTCCCATTGAAAGGGAGACGGCTTTGGACAGGTCTGGCTGAGGCACATTACCCAGACCATTCGCTGGATCCACTGTTATAGCCGGTTCCTGCTGTTGTAGTTGCTGCCGTGTGTCTGGCAGTGAAGCAGGTGGGGTTGGACAAGATGTGGAAATGTTCACACAGGCTCCACCTCTATAGCTTGTAAATAAATCAATCACGTTCCCTTTCTTGTCAGTGTAATGTGCAGTCTTCACAGCCTGGGATCCACTTGGCGGCTTTAATAGATCTTTAGGATCCATTGAACACTGATGCCTGAGAAGAGACAGAAAAAAAAACCTCATGAACCAAAACTTTAAAGATCACTTAATTGACCTAGGAATTACATTTAACACAGCGTGACTGACATACTACTCTGCTGCCACAAAGTGCTCGCTATGCATTGTACAGCCATGAATACATCAACTTAATGAGATTATCTGCATTCAATGATATTTCCTCTCTGGATTATTTTAACAGAGGGATGCTACAAGATGATTTCAGTGTGTGCTTGGAGAAAAAAAAAGCAGCATTCAAAACTAGCGAACCCTTTTGAAACATTCTTATATGATTACGTGCGAGTTTATCATAAGCAGAAAAAGGATTAGGCAAGTTTGGAAGCTCCTCGTAGACGGTTTCTGAAATGCAAGCTGCTAGTTTCAGCTACGAGCAACGCACCTCACGTGCCCAAGTGACAGTTAACCATTTCAGCACCGCACAGGCACCTTGAAGATAGAATCATTTTCTGTCTTATTAAAGATACATTAAAGTATATACATTCTCCTCTCTCAAACAAGACGGCTTTTATGTACAGCTTCATATGACTGCAATTCATGGAAACAACTATACCTTGCATGGGACCTTTAATAAAGGATTTGCAATGCAAATCAAAGATCCACATCTCCCATAGAGTGCTGTACAGTGCATTAGCAGTTGTCATGCCATCCCGGGGTACATGAAATAAGAAGGGATGATATTAAGTGGAAAACTGTTGCTATATTGTTGCATCTTAGTCATATACCTGGCTGTAGGCTTTTTCTTTTTTACTTCTTAGGCTGGTTTTCTATCTTTTTTTTAATATGTTTTAAAGGAGTCACCTAATCTTGTAACATGCACATCACATATTCAATAAACTTATAAAGAAAAAGTATATGTTTTGTAACTGCATAATGCTACGGGGTTGATAACCAGTTATATGACATTATATAACAGGAGTTTAAATGCAGAAAGGCAACAAATAATGTAACAAGGGCATTATAAGAGTCCACATTATTTAAAAAAAACAATATCTATTGCACGTCACACAGAAAAATTATCCATTGTCGGGTTTGGTTCAGTAGATGAAGATATATAGATAGATAGATAGATAGATAGATAGATAGATAGATAGATAGATAGATAGGAAATGCCCATATTTATGACATCAGACATCACACACATGAATATTATGAAACATACACACATGAAAAGAAAAGTTGTTTTGGCCAACAATGTAGAATGTAATGAAATATCCTGGATACAGCTGCCCAAGCACATGATGACTGATTGCTCTCAAAGAACAACAACAGGTAAATAAATAAGACATGAAACGAGAATGTAAAATGATTTTGATGACTGTTAACGGAAATGTCTATTTTGAGAAGAAGTGGGCTCGCGGAGCCCTTTAGACAACCTTATCTACACTAGAAGCGTTAACCACAAAAAGCGTTTGCAGTAAACCACACGTTTCACCGAGTCCAAATCACATTCATTCCTCCCTCCATCTCAACGTGTGTGCAGCAGAATCCATTATAGGAAATCTTGTTTTCTGAATTGAAGCTGAGCCATTACACTGAATGGAGAAAAATGTGATTATTTTTTTCCCCCTCTTCTCTTTGGTTCTGTCCTCCCACGTATAACCATTTCAACACATGATTTGAAGAGTGAGGCACAGCAGCAGACCCTTTAGGCAACCTGGGCACTCCAGCTGTTGGTGGAACTTCAAGTCCCATGAGGCACTGCAAGACTTTGAAAGCCACAGGCATGACACCCAGGGGCAGAGACATAATGGGATTTGTAGTTTCAGTAAAGCTGGAGTGTCAGGTTGCCCACCCCTGCCATATTCAACTAAGGAAGAGTGAAAGAAAACTATAATTAAAAAAACAACAGTGGGCAGATGAGGATCAGCAGCAGGCACCCCACTCTCCTACACGACAACCAAGACCTCACCATTCCTCCCAAGTTGTCATCCAGCAGTGCTGTCACAGGGTTCCCGCAAGGGTTAACTGGGCTGACAGGAAAGAAGTGAGCTATTAATAAAACATAAAGCAATATTGAATATATTAGATGACGTCAGCCAACTAGTTGGAGCCCCGCCCACCAAGCCCTGCTGTCATTACAGAGGAAATAAACAGCTTGGCTTTCAATGTAGACATAAAGAAATGAAATTAAGCCATCATTGTCCGGTGGTGTATCCCCCCCCCCACAGAGTGTACAGGGGAGGGGTGCCGGGGAGATCCGCTCCGGGTCAGGGCAGATCCCGGGATCAGCTCTGCAGGAAGTTGCGAGTCGTCGGTTTCATAAGAGCTTGTGTTAGTGGAAATGGCCGAGGATGAGGGAAAAGTTGTGGAGTGAGGGGAATGATGATTCACAGCAAAAGCTGGAGCACGGATCGGCGGCCCCGGGGCTTGGCATGTGCCCAGCTACAGCAGCGTGCTCCCCGGGCTGCAATCAGACTGCAAGCTCTTGGGCACAGCAGGCGAAGTGATCGTCTAGCCGAGCAATGGCAGCACACACAGAGTATAAAGACAGATCTGAGCAATGACAATCAATAGTGGGTCCGTCTAGGAACGGAAGAGCCCGCCGCCCTACAAAGTTGTGAGCTGTCAGTGCGGGGGATCAGGAAAATGACAAACGTGACAATGACATTCGCGGAGGGCCAGCGAGAAACACGGTGCCCTTCAGTCCTATGACAGCCCCCTTACCGACATGTGTGGGCTCCGCTAAATCCATTGTCGGGTTTGGTTCAGTAGATGAAGATATATAGATAGATAGATAGATAGATAGATAGATAGATAGATAGATAGATAGATAGATAGATAGGAAATGCCCATATTTATGACATCAGACATCACACACATGAATATTATGAAACATACACACATGAAAAGAAAAGTTGTTTTGGCCAACAATGTAGAATGTAATGAAATATCCTGGATACAGCTGCCCAAGCACATGATGACTGATTGCTCTCAAAGAACAACAACAGGTAAATAAATAAGACATGAAACGAGAATGTAAAATGATTTTGATGACTGTTAACGGAAATGTCTATTTTGAGAAGAAGTGGGCTCGCGGAGCCCTTTAGACAACCTTATCTACACTAGAAGCGTTAACCACAAAAAGCGTTTGCAGTAAACCACACGTTTCACCGAGTCCAAATCACATTCATTCCTCCCTCCATCTCAACGTGTGTGCAGCAGAATCCATTATAGGAAATCTTGTTTTCTGAATTGAAGCTGAGCCATTACACTGAATGGAGAAAAATGTGATTATTTTTTTCCCCCTCTTCTCTTTGGTTCTGTCCTCCCACGTATAACCATTTCAACACATGATTTGAAGAGTGAGGCACAGCAGCAGACCCTTTAGGCAACCTGGGCACTCCAGCTGTTGGTGGAACTTCAAGTCCCATGAGGCACTGCAAGACTTTGAAAGCCACAGGCATGACACCCAGGGGCAGAGACATAATGGGATTTGTAGTTTCAGTAAAGCTGGAGTGTCAGGTTGCCCACCCCTGCCATATTCAACTAAGGAAGAGTGAAAGAAAACTATAATTAAAAAAACAACAGTGGGCAGATGAGGATCAGCAGCAGGCACCCCACTCTCCTACACGACAACCAAGACCTCACCATTCCTCCCAAGTTGTCATCCAGCAGTGCTGTCACAGGGTTCCCGCAAGGGTTAACTGGGCTGACAGGAAAGAAGTGAGCTATTAATAAAACATAAAGCAATATTGAATATATTAGATGACGTCAGCCAACTAGTTGGAGCCCCGCCCACCAAGCCCTGCTGTCATTACAGAGGAAATAAACAGCTTGGCTTTCAATGTAGACATAAAGAAATGAAATTAAGCCATCATTGTCCGGTGGTGTATCCCCCCCCCCACAGAGTGTACAGGGGAGGGGTGCCGGGGAGATCCGCTCCGGGTCAGGGCAGATCCCGGGATCAGCTCTGCAGGAAGTTGCGAGTCGTCGGTTTCATAAGAGCTTGTGTTAGTGGAAATGGCCGAGGATGAGGGAAAAGTTGTGGAGTGAGGGGAATGATGATTCACAGCAAAAGCTGGAGCACGGATCGGCGGCCCCGGGGCTTGGCATGTGCCCAGCTACAGCAGCGTGCTCCCCGGGCTGCAATCAGACTGCAAGCTCTTGGGCACAGCAGGCGAAGTGATCGTCTAGCCGAGCAATGGCAGCACACACAGAGTATAAAGACAGATCTGAGCAATGACAATCAATAGTGGGTCCGTCTAGGAACGGAAGAGCCCGCCGCCCTACAAAGTTGTGAGCTGTCAGTGCGGGGGATCAGGAAAATGACAAACGTGACAATGACATTCGCGGAGGGCCAGCGAGAAACACGGTGCCCTTCAGTCCTATGACAGCCCCCTTACCGACATGTGTGGGCTCCGCTACTCCCGCACTTCCATAGCGAGCGGTACAGCCTACAGATAAACAAGTTGGCGTGAGGAAAGGCGCCGCTGCCTCTGCCGGGGGAGGAAGTAAACAGGCGCTGGGGACACCATGGCAGTGCCCCAGCTCAATGTCCACTCTCCTCCCTACACACCCCCCGGCCCCCCTCTAGTCCCTCCCTCTCTCCCGGATACTTACAGCTGGCGGCCTTCAGGCTCCGGGCATGTCTACGTGTTCAGTCTCGCTGTATGCCCCAATGTCGGCTGGCAGCGGCCCGTGTGCGCGGTGCACACAGCTGAGGCGCCCTCGGGGATGGGAGCCGCCTATCCCGGACATGCAGGGAGGAGAGAGACAGAGGGGGGCTGGGGGAGGGGGCTCTGTGCGTGCAAACAGGGGAGGGAGGCCGAGC